AAAGTATTAATATATATATATATATATATATATATATATATATATATATTACTCGGCACAGTATGGATCTGTCCGTGGTGCTGAACTTCATTCTTGTTGGATGACGCCCAAAAGTTTTTTCTTTTTTTCTCAATTTGTCGAGAAAAATTAAATCAAAATACTTTAAATGTCAATACATTTAATTTGTTTCTTTCAACATCTGCAGATAACTACACAAATATAGAGCAGAAATACTATTCGTTCATATTTTTTTTTGTCATAAACATATTTTTGTGCAAACTTTTATCTTCACACGATGTCGCTGCACTACAGATATTCACTTTAAGGGAGGATGCAAGAACAGCCATGCTTTGCTTTCATAATGCTGTTGGACGGAGGCACAGAGAGCAGCAGCTCAGCAGAATCTGATCAGCGGGCGGGATCCACGGCACGGCGCTATGCCATGCTCTGCTGGATGTTTTCAAGAATCCAAATACCCCCTAATCTCGATTCGTTTTGGAACATACTGCTATATTTCTTGTGAAAGACAATAAAAGCATTAACGTGCGCTCTGCAATGGATCCGTGGAGGAGAAGGCAGCTCAGTTATGTAGTCCTCTCCGCGTTGTGGATTCTCGCCTCGGCTGTAACAAGATACTCCATCCCTGAAGAAATTCCAGTGGGCACCGTGATCGCAAATATCGCCACGGATTTGGGCCTTGACGCGCACAGCCTGTTGGAAAGAAAGGTGAAGCTGGATTATATTCATAGCAAAAAATACCTAGAAATAAACAAAGCCACTGGGGAACTGTATGTCGATGAGAAAATTGACCGGGAGTATTTATGTCCGGCCAAAACATCATCGTTTTGCTTCCTCAAGATGGACGTGATAATTGAGAGTCCAATACGCATATTTAATATCGAATTGGAAATTATGGACATCAATGACAACGCGCCTCAGTTCAGAAGGGAGAGAATACCACTCGATGTTTCGGAATCAGCAACACCTGGAGAGAGATTTTCTTTAACAAACGCGGTGGATGCAGATGTTGGAGAGAACTCAATCAAAACCTATTATCTGAGTGACAGCGACACGTTTACGATTGAAATCCAATCTGGAAGTGACGGGACTAAATATGTCGACCTGGTGCTAAAAGCAAATTTGGACAGAGAAAAACAAGCCGTTCATACACTAACCCTCACCGCCGTGGACGGCGGCGTACCTGCGCGCTCAGGTACGGCCAGCATTGTCGTTCAAGTGCTGGACACCAATGACAACGCCCCTCAGTTTGATCGACAAGTGTACTCGGTTGATCTCATTGAAAATGCACCAATCGGGACACTGATTATGCAGATGAATGCAACCGATTTGGATGAGGGTGTCAATGCGGAGGTCACATACTCTTTCACTTTATACACATCTGAGAAAACACAAGAAACGTTCTCTTTGGATCCCAGCAGTGGAGAAATAAGAGTAAAAGACATGATTGATTTTGAAGAAGTGAAGAGCTTTGAGATGTACGTTGAAGCCAAGGACAAGGCTGTGAATCCACTTTCTGGTCAGTGTAAAATTTTAGTGTTCATCACCGATCTAAACGATAACCATCCTGAGATTACGATAAAATCTTTTCAGAGTTCGATCAAAGAAAATGACCCTGTAGGAACATTGATCGCCATCATCGGTGTGAGTGACAGAGACTCTGGAGATAATGGTAAGGTTGTTCTCTCCATCCACAATGCTGAGATATTACCGTTTGCTCTTAATAAGTCATCTGAAGACTTTTTTGAGTTAACAGTCACAGAATCGCTTGACCGCGAGGTCAAAAACAGTTATGATATTACACTTCATGTGACCGACAGAGGAACCCCTCCTCTGACGGATAATGAAACAATCAGTCTTACAATTCAAGATGTCAATGATAACGCGCCAACATTCCCTCAGTCCCTCTATACCATTTATCTAATGGAAAACAATGAACCCAGGACGTTGCTCGCCTCTTTAGCCGCCCATGACCCAGACTTGCATGAAAATCAGTATCTTGTTTACTTCATCATAGAAAAGCAGATCGCCAACACCTCAATGTCCATGCTGTTTTCCATCAATCCTGAGAACGGCAACCTCTACACGTTACGCACATTTGACTACGAAAGAGAGAAGGAGTTTCTGTTTCACATCGAAGCTAGAGATTCTGGACTCCCTCCTCTTAGCAGTAACGTGACTGTACACATCATCATCCTGGACCAAAACGACAATACGCCACTCATAGTTTCTCCATGGCGTCCGCAAGGTGCTGTTATAGAAGAAGTAATCCCAAGGTCGAGTGATAAAGGATCCCTGGTCACCAAGGTCATTGCAATGGATGCCGACTCCATGCAGAACTCTCGTATTACTTATCAGTTCCTCCAGATCACAGACACCACGCTCTTCAGCCTCGACCAGTACAACGGTGAGATAAGAACCACTCGCATGTTCAGTTACAGAGACCCCAGACATCAGCACCTGGTCATCATAGCCAGAGACAACGGAGATCCTCCTCGCTCTGCCACGGTGACCATCAAGATCTCCACGGTGGAACAAGTGGTCACGCAGTTTACCGAAACCACAGAGGTGCCTATCGAATACGACCTGTTCACCGATCTCAACCTGTATTTGCTGATCGGTTTGGGGTTGGTGTTGTTTCTTCTGCTCATAACCATCCTGGTGATCATCTTGCTGAAATGTCAAGAACCGAAACCCTCACAAGCAGCTCCTCAGGGTAGGAACAGTATCATCAGCCAGAGGAACTCCTCCACCATCGCTGACTCTACTCTCATCTCTAGTGATGCCTACTGGTACAGTCTGTTTCTGGCAGAGACTAGAAAAGGGAAGGTGGTGGTGCGGCAGCCCCTTCCCAACGGAGCAGGGTTCATTGTGTCAAGCGTCCCAGGAAGTGCTGCGCTGACTGAGACCAGTGCTTCAAGGTCTTCCACTTTACAGGTACTATAAATGCATTTAGACTTGTATGTACTCATATGCATATACAGTGACCCCAAAAAGTATTTAAAAAACTGATTAATTGCAACTGCATTACATAACCAAACTTCAAACCAAGTGCATTTATTTTAAATAAACATAGCTTAAGGACACATTTTAAGCATCTTATTTGGTTTTAAATGATAAAACAATGCATATACAGTTCAAATTAAGTATCTGGACACTTTAGTGATACGTTCATAGTTAATGTGATGAGTAAGTGAAGGCTTCAAATGCAATAGCCTCTAACTGCCGTCTGAAATTTTCTTCTAAAATTAGCATTTTTATCAGGTTCCAGTGTTTAGGTTCAGTGATTTCACTTTAATGGTAATGAAAGGGACCTGTTTATAGCCATTAAACTGAATCACTGAACCTAAACATAGGAGCCTGATAAAGATGATAATCTTAGAAGAAAATTTCAGATGGCACTTAGAGGCTTTTGCATCTGAAGTCTTCAAGTGTAAACCTGACT